CCATCAAAAGGAGAACTCGATGCAAATTTACCAGGCCTATGTGACATTGGGGAACAATATGATCTAACTCATCTCACAGTCTGAATCACACACTAGGATCACATGATGCCACCCATAAATGATATTTGGGCCTGACTGTAGAGTACCATAGACACTGTATATTATACATTCCTGTAGGAATACCAAAGTGTGGCAGTGAGTGTAAAAGTGGCACTAAATTCCACCATAATTGCATAGGGCTACAACTAACACTTGGTTACATGGGTATCCCCAGTTTTCTGAGAACTGATGTTGTGTGGCTATAAAGAGCAACACGATGTGATGAAGATTGTTTGGATAAAACTGCTATTTTAAATATGCTAATTTATTTGTAGACCAGGTTTACCAGGTTTATGTTGTTGCAATATGAAGATGTGAGAAGCAACAAATTGGTTCCCAGAAAAAAAAATGTTTTTATGAAACAGGATTATACCTCCAGAAATAGCACTTGTAAGTATCTGTCCTTGTAAGACAGATAAAGAAAGACAGGAAAAGGGGAGATAGAGAGATGCAGCAAAGGGCCGCAGGTTGGAATCGAACCCGGCCCGCTGCGATAAGGACTCATGGGGCACACACTCTACCAGGTGCGCTATCCTGTGTTCAGCCCCAACTGGCTCCAACCAAATTTAACCCCTCAGGGTGCCAGTATTAAATCAACACCAACATCTATCAACACCCACATAGACGTGACTTTAATGTGGCTGTTGTATTTAAGTGGTTTGGGTATCAGTTACTGATGTGGAAACCGAGTGTGTATTTGCCCCCTGTCCTCTGCACACACACACACACACACACACACACACACACATCCCATGCCTGCCTCACAGTGTTATCTGAAGCCAGCCAGAGGTCTAGCCAACAAGCCAGTTTGTACCCATGATGTTTGTCCCCTCCAAACCTGAGCAGCTGTTAAGAGACTGAGATTCTCACCCAGCTCTCGGCAGAAGTGGAACACAGTGGTTGTTGAGCTGTTCCCTAATACCCCTATGATTCATACTTGTTCCCTTCACTTTCCCAGAATGCAGCTCTGTATGCCTCACTGTGCTGAGGTCCTTACCCTCGCCAACATTGTATCAGTGAATTACTCATCCTTCCACTGGGGCAACGTACTGCACTGTGTGTGTGTGTCTGTGTGTGTGTGTGTGTGTGGTTGCGCAGTGTTGATTGCTCAGTAATGACTTGTTTTTCAAGCACTACTGTATAACGAGGCAGAGTTGCTGTTCATACAGAATTAAGATTAATTGTGATACTCAGCATTTGGTTTGTTGAGCATTTTAGTGTTAAGACAGTCAACTGGGATTCTATTTAGAGCTGAAACCAGTAGTTGAGTCATTAAGTTGTCAACTGACAGAAAACTAATAGGCAATAGTTTTGATAGTGGATGAATCTGTTGAGTTTATAAGCCAGAATGCCTTGGTTCTTGCTCCTCAGAAGTCAATGTTTGCTCACTTAGTCTTCTATAATAGTAAACTGAATATATATTTGAGGTGTTGATTTTAACAAACAGGCCATATGAGTGTGTTGATGGGCATTTTCTGACATGTTTTTAGACCAAAAGAAGAAAATAATTTGCACTTAAATAAAAGCTGAAATTGCCGTCAGCTGAAGCCCTCTCATTATGAACTCAAAATGTAAATGATGTTGTCCCAAGGTGGCTAGATGGAAATCGCAGGGCATAAGATAATAATTGTGTGTGCGTTATTGTGCATCTGTAAGAGAGAGTTAAGGCGTTATAACAGTGTCTGCATAAGTGTGCTGTAACCGAAGTGCTTGTTGGATGATCGAACAGTGTTGGAAACCCTCAAACCTTTCCAATGTCAGAATGCAGGAGCGCCCCCATCATATGTGAGTCCACGCTACCAAATGAGCTAAACACATTTTATGCTCACTTTGATCTCCTCAACAAAGAGTCAGCTGTAAAGTTGACTCTGCCTCCAGAGAATCTGCTGCTGACAACATCCACAGCGGATGTGCAAAAATATGACTACATAAGCTGCTGGGCCTAATAACATCCCTGGCCATGTACTAAAAACATGTGCCAGTCAGCTAGTTGATGTCATTACTGGCATTTTTAACATTTCACTGTCACAGGAGAAGGTGCTCACCTGTTTCAAGACAGCCACCTAAAAAGTCTGCAGGGTCTAGCCTGTAACGACTACTGCCCTGTGGCACATATCCCTGATGAAGTGCTTTGAGAAACTGGTTCTCAGGCACATAAAGAATCACATCCCTGTCAGCCTGGACTTGCACCAGTTTGCATTAAAAACAAACAGATCACCAGAAGATGCTATCTCCACTACCGTCCACTCAGTTTTCACACGGCTACATCTGTTTGATTTCAGCTCAGCATTCAATACAATCTGCCCTGTGAAACTGATTTGCCTCACAAACAAACCCCAGACAGTTCAGATTATTGGTCACACCTCCCCCACTCTAGTGCTCAACACCGGAGTACCTCAGGGCTGTGTGCTCAGCCCCTGTTCACGCTGTACACTCATGACTGCATCCCCTGACATGGAGACAACTCATGGAGACATGAGTTTGCGGATGACACCATCATCGACCGGATTTCAAACAGTCAGGAGACTTCATATCGGGATGAAAGCAACAATCTTGTGGAGCGTTGCACAGAAAACAACCTACGGCTCAACGTCAGCAAAACCAAGGAGCTGATTATTGTTTTTAAGGAAAAAAGAGGCAAAGATAAACTCTTTTTGTCTATATCAGTGGAGCTAAGGTGGAGCACGTAAACAGTTTTAGGTTCCTGTGAATCAACAGAAAACCTGTCATGGTCATGCAAATGTCATTAATCTAATTTTTATTTATATTTTTTCAAAAGGAGCATAAAGGGAACTATATCTGAATTTCATTCCACAACCTTGCATTGTAAATGACAATAAAATAACCCTGAATCCTTGAACAGCTGTAGTTGTTTCCGAAGTTTTCAGCAAATAATTAACTGGCACACCCACTTCACACAGTGATTGACCAGGTGAGAGGTGAGAAAGTATGCAGGATTTGAGTCACTTTTTGTGTGTACAAACAAGTGCAACATTATGAATTCCTAAGAGGAAAGTTGTCCCAACAGGAATGGTTTTTACTTTAGAGCCATGTTCTTCTCACAGGTGCATACTCGGACCTTCTCGACACATTCCCCTCCTGAGTGTGTTTTTTGATTAGCAGCGTTGCATGAAAGCTGCCCTGGTCACTTAATGGCCTCCTCTATGGAATTTGTCGGCCACTATCTAATCAGGTTTCCTCACTCTGTCAGATGTTAGCTATTTATCAACCACGCTGTTGATGACGGAACAGCAGTGTCTCCCCGAAGCCTCATAGCGCAACTAATGTTCTTTAGTCATTCTTATTGTACAGTCTGTATCCCAACATACAACTGGCCCTTCAGTCAACCTTGAGTTGAGACAATACAGAGTTGTTAAGGTGAAGAATTTGCAGCGTGATGCTGCTTGCCTCAGGATACGTGTTCCTATACTTTAAATATCTCATGTTTAGTAAGGCATAATTTTTTTGATGATAATGAGCTGTGAAATTGGCTCTGTGAATCTTGACAAAGGATTAGTTTCGAAATTCTGTCAGTGATCTTATCTTTACATAAATGTGAGTACACACCAGGGAAATCACAGCAATATTACTTGTGTAAAAAAGATTAAAGGTATTTCTAACAAATGCAAAGACTAAGCTAAAACTAGTTTTTTTAATATCCCAAGCAAACTAAGCTGCAAGTCCCTGTCTGCTTTGTGTTTACAAAAATTCTCTTTTATGAGCTTGACCTTGTGGGTCTTTGCGTAATTGCGTTCCTTGTATTTTGCACACAGCGTTTACTCATATATGAAGTTTTGTTGGCTGGGTTTGTTGTGGTTGTTGTGCATTGTCGCCAGGTTTGGTCAGTGGTCTGTATCCACGCCAGCTGGAAGGATAGCCAACACGGAGTGTCCTATCTTGTTTGCCACAGAGTGTGAATTGAAGAGTTTGCAAGCTATCTGGACAGAGAGGTGTGAAAAGGAACCCTGCCGACAGCAACAAACACCACACTTTCAAAAGTTCACGGGGCTTCAAAAATCATGCATCCTGTGAAAAATTGTCTGTCAGGCTGACTTTGTAGAAATTAGTGAACGCTGAGTGTGAAAGGTTAGAAAAACAGTGAGGGCAGTGTGAGAGCAGACAATGAGAAAAAGGTCAGTGATCTGGATGCTTGGAGAAAGAAGACAGTAAAATGTATGACTTTGGCCCCCCAGACACAGCCTAGACTCTGGTTTCGTGCTACTTCACAAACAACCACAAACTCAGTCTGCATTACAGAGTAAGCAATCAGATTTATTTGTTATTCATTAGGAAAGAACTCAGGTTCATATTTACATTGATGTCTTGATTTCTTCCACTAGTTGTCAACTGTGTTTGTATGTCTGTGTGTGCACTGCAATCATACACCATTATTAAACTTCCCACTAACCCCCAACTCACACCCTGTTCCAACTTGTACTGCGGACATTATGTAGCAGAAGACTAAATCTCGTCCTCCACTTTTCTCCTCCGGCTATGACAACACATTCTCCATAGTCAACCATTGCCTACTTACAAAATGCACGCACACACTTAAAAACACACACTTACACACAGGGTTAGAACAGGGGTTTTAGAAGAAAAATTACACCATACATCTTGCACTGAGTCACTTTACAAAGCTTGCTGAAATGTAGAACAGCTGTAAACTACTACTGGCACCAGGCCTGCACCTCATCAAAAGTAAATGATCAATTCAACACACCCACCAACACTCATTGGAATGAAAAATCTGCACAAGGGCATTCTTTTCAGCTGTCCACAGTGATACCTTATACTGTGTTTGAAAGGCCTGTAGAGTCATGTTATATAAGTTGATGTAAAATATTATCTGTGTGTACTTCTAACATGACACATCACCTCTCTCCACTGTCTGGCTTCAGACTACCTGGCGAAACATGGCCGTCTGAGTGAGCTAGAGGCCAGGAGGAAGTTCTGGCAGATCCTGTCGGCGGTGGAGTATTGTCACAACCGCAACATCGTCCACAGGGACCTGAAGGCGGAGAATTTGCTGCTGGATGGCCACATGAACATCAAGATAGCAGGTACCGTAACAACGTAGCGCAAGAGGACACATACACTTATTTATGAATGGAAAATACAGGCTGTCTGCATGGAATCATTACGTTTTGATCCATGGCCTGATACATATGATGTCAGTGCCAGAATAGTTAAAAAATGTCTTAACTACCTGCCCAGGCCATTTGCACAGTGTTGAGAAGTGGTCAGAGGTTGCTTGCGAGGTAGCTGTGGGCTGAAAGATGCCACAAAAGACGTCTCGAAATCTTAGCAAGAATCCAAAGGCTAGTGCCACCTTTATCAAAACTGATCAGAGAAGATCAAAAATCCCTCCCCAGTGACCCCGAGCTTTAATTTTGAACAGGAAACATTAAAGATAGAGGACAGAAAGAGAAACAGACCCAGAGGCAGAGATTTGAAACTAAGCTGGAGGTCTGTAGTACAAGCTTCAAAGTGTGATTATTAAGCAACTGGCATTTAGAGCTAGCTAGTGAGAATGTCACCCTACCACTGTGGAGGAGGGGGAGGCTGGGAGGGAGTGGGAGGGCATAAGGGTGGTGGCAGGGAAGACTTTGACTTTAATTGGAGGAGAAGAGGGGGTGGTGATATGGATTGGCTACTTTGGAGTGGCGGATGAGAAGATGAAAGAAGAATGATAAGGAGCAGTGCATAGCAGGGTGGCAGGGCTGCAGCTGTGACAATGCTCTGAAAGAGGCAAAGGTTTATCTTAGGCTTTATTCGGAGATGGTGATACTTCAACTCAATCTTAGGTGAGTTGACCACATGAGGACAGCTAAAAATACAAGTGTGAAAGGATACCAGACACACAGATTATAAATGTGTGGTCCAAAGAAAATGGTCTCTTGTCCTCAAAGGACTTCATATCATTGACTCTAAATAATATGATAAAATCATTATTTATTTGTCTGATACATGTTACATAATGGGGGGGAAATGACAGATGGGCATCCCAGTGAGCACCCCAGTTAACCTTCATGGTCAGTGTCTAGTGGCTTTTATTTGTTCTCATAGGTCAAATCAGATAAGGACAAATTAGACAGAACTATACAATAACTGATAGAGAACCGAGTGTTTCACCTGCATCATCCTGTCCATTGTTTGTCAGAAGGGTCCAAGATGATAACCTGGAGATGTTATTACCCCAGCAGTAATTTTCACAAACAGGTCTGACTCACAGCCAATTGTCCGCACGGCAGATTAGATTTGAAGTAGGAAAACAATGAACAGAACATTACCTGGCTTGTGATTAGACAAAATGTCTCTGAGGAGGACATCAGCAGCAAGGTACATTCTGTACTTCTTTTACCCACAACATGCTCAGACAAGTTTGGTCAACGGTACATTAAGTTTAGGTACATGTCAGATTTGTACTGTACATGAGAAACATGTACAAGAGACAGTCCTCACTTCATATTTCCTGACTGCATTAGTAAAATTGGTGTCAATTCAGATCAACCAATCATGGTAAAAGAGAGGTGAATATTTCTAGGGATAATCAGGAAATAGAGCTGTCTGTTGGCAGCACTGTGTATTGCGATGTGCATATGCAACTGCGTACGACCAACAAAATGTGGACCCCCTAGAAGAAAAATGGCTGCATTCTGCCACTTGAGGACAAACTGGTAGCTTTTAAATGCAAACTGTGTAGGGCTGCAACAAAAAAATATTGATTGAACTTTGATTGGTTTTGTCTATAAAATGTCAGAAACAATTGTTTAAAATGTCCATCACAGTTTTTTAGAGGTAACATTTTCATATTGCTTGTTTTGTCCAACCAACGGGACCAGATTAAACTCCCTGGAGAAAGAAATGTGCTATGAAGTCTTGTGGAATATTTGTTTTTATTTCATTCATTTTATATAAAATGTTCTTATTAACTTATATATATGTCCAGTCTTATGCTTCTGTGCTGTATCTTTGCCTTAGAGTTTTTCCCGCAATTTAGTGATGTCTCCCTGCTTTCTAAAGGCCACCTCTGGTCAGTCTGTATGAAGCTTAACCAGGCAGCGGTCAGTCAAAGAAAGGTCACGCTCATGGTGGCTGCAGAGGAGAGGGGAATATCAGCAGCAGGGGGGTGCCCTTCATATTTTCACTTCAAACAGCCCTTTCACGTTCAAGTTGACAGATTGAAGGGGATGGAAGGAGAGGAGAACAAATAACAAAAACAAAAGCAAGTTGCTGGATCAGAGGAGGCAGCCCTTTGTGTCTTAGCAGGAAAATATATGTCCTATGTTTTGGGTTGTGTTTCTTAAAAAAACAAAGCAAAAATGGTGTGGGAAAACCACTTTCAAAAACCAAATCTGATGTTTCATACATTGTCTCACATCACCAAAGTGTTTATAACTTCATTAACTGTTACTGAATTTATTGTTTTTGTTGAAACCATCCACAGAGTCATGTCATTGGAAGTACACTAAACTCTAAAGGTGTTCCATGCTCAATTAAGTGATGTAGAAAGTATAAACAATCTCCAGATCAAGGACACCTGTTGGAGAACCAGTTTCTAATTGGTAGTAATAAAAAGAAATGGAAACCACCAGCAATAGACAATATGACGATATCAAATATACCTTAAACAGTAGATGGTGACTCGTCTGCTGGTATGTCTTCTTCCTAGCAGCTATTTGTTTATTATGTTTATTATTATTATATTGATTGAGATCTCTGCAGTAAGCAGGACTACTTTCTAGCTTTATTTGACCTTCAAAGTCCAACTTGACCTTCAAAACGAGCAGTTTACAGAACATCTCCCATCAAGGTCCGTTTTGTAGCTGTTCTGGAGCTTTTGATCAAATTACATGATATTTAAGGCCCCTAAAAACTTGGTTTCAAATATTAAATAGTTATTTGTTACAATAAAAAACTAATTGTTATTAAATAAGCAGCAATCAAAGTTAAAATTCTGTGGAAAAATCTACTTAGGTATTTGAGTTTAACACTTAAAAACATTTTGGTGATTGGTCTGATTTGATTGACAAAACAACCCACCAACTGTGATTGATTTTGATTTAGATTTTGCCAAATCCTGATTGGTGCTCAGAGGAACATTACACCCCCTTTTTCTAACTGAGCCCCTTCAAACCCTGTTTTCACTGTAGTGAAAATTGTTCTCAGTCACAGGTTACAGTAATCCCTTAGGGCAAGATTGTTTAACTTTTACTAAAAAGCAGTCTCCTTGGGCAAATGTAACAATTATGAGATAATGGTAAATTAAGTGCAAAAGACCAAATCACCCAGTAACATCTATTGTACAGGAATATCTGAAAAGTTTTGCTAAAAATGTCTTACCATAAGCTCCTGATCATACCGACAAAACCTCTGAACGTATTGAGTTGTGCAAGTTTGTGTTTTGTTTCAATTCAACTTTTTCTTTTTAATCATAAGAGGAAAAAATTGTTGCACAGTTTTCTTAGAAAGAAAGAGAGTGGGAGGGAGGGAGAGAGAGAAAGACAGAGAGAGAGAGAGAGGTTTGGGGAACTTCAGGCACACAAGAAGAATGACGAGAAAAAAAGTTTTCAGTTGGTAACAAGTGTAAGAGAAGAGAAAGGACGAGAGGAGAAAGGAAAGTGTGAATCCAGGGCAGTGCATCCTGGGCTGCAGCCATAACTATATCAATGCTCACACCTTATTATAAATGACAGTAAATTTTTTGACGGCTGCATGCTGTCCTCTTACTGCAGCATGATGATATCACTCATATACTCGTCAAACCCACACACACACACAAAGTTTTGTACTATTTTATACATGTCACAATGGAGTGTATTCCAGTGTGACATGTTTAGGCTAATATTATGCTAATACTGTTGTGTGCGGCACACACACACTCCCCCCACCCCGCCACTGCTGTTGAGCTATGAGTGCTGTTAGTAGCCTGCAGCGTGCTAGAGCGTTTGACGTCAACCAGTCTGCTCAGTATTCAGCTCCATGAAATGGGTCACAGCTTCTGACGATAAACCAACTGCACTGCTCTGCTCTGCTGTGCCTGCATCTCAGATCTCACCTTCACAGCAGCATCAGACAGTAAACATACTTGTAATAAACCCCAGTGTGGCACTCTGCTTTACCCTCCACTTTATTTCAACCACACCTGCTGCTACCTGCACTGCAGATATTACATGGATTGAATACATGCACTCACGTACACAGTGTCAAACCTGCCATTTCTTTAGTTGGAGTTTGCACTGCGCTAATTTCTCAAACCAGATTCCTACACGTATTTTCTAGTGAACAAGAATTTCTTGCACCTTTTCTTTTCTATACAGTCAAAATATAAAACACAGTATGCGGTCTAGATTCTGCATCATTATCATCATCCACATCCCTATTTTTGAAAGTAGTTTTCAAGTGTTTCACCTTCCTCAGCTGGAAATGGACATAGCAATCACAGTATATGGCAGGGGGCCATTTCTGGCCCTCCAACCCCCTCCCTCCGGCCCGCAACATGATGTCTAAAATAAAAAATAATCCAGCCCACCAAAGTTTTCTTAAATTACTTTTTTCAAGTTGTTTCATATTAATTTAAACTACTAAAATTTAAAAAAAACCACACAATTCTGTTTTATTTTTCGTTTGGCGTAAAATATTGACAAAAGTCAAAGGTGCCATCCATGCTAATATTTGATAAGAAGAGAGCAGGTTTCAGGCCTTTGTTGTCATTTGTTGTTTGGCTGTGAACAGCAAAAAGTATAGAAAATGATTATATAATGAATTATGTATGTATAGGAACTGCTTTCATTTTTTTGTTGAGTATAATAGTAATGGAAATATTTTCAGAATATCGCGCTTTCTTGTAGTACTTGAACGTTGAAGTGGCTCTCCTAATACCAACTGTGGCCCCAGGTCAATTTGAGGTTGAGACACTAAGTATATGGTACTCCTAAACCATTAGGAGACATGGAGAAATTACAAAAATATTTGTCACTACCAGCTTCTTAAATGTGAGGATTTGCTGATTTACTCTGTTTCATAGACTCAGTTTATTAGGTACACCTACAGTCAAACACAACCGACCTGCTATAAATGCTCCCTTCGTGAAGTTTATAATATTACGTTTTTGTTGAAACTGTTTTACAGAGAGGTGTTGTGTCTTGTTAATTGTAAAGGGTCATGATGCAGAGCAAAGGGAAAGGAATTGGTTACACATTCTCTCACACACTGCTCAGTCTGTGCATGTGTATGTGTGTCTCTCTCTTTGTGTGTGTGTGTATGTGTGAACCCACATCACCTCCAGCCCCATTATATAAGACAGATTTTTTTTATCAGTGTTATTTATTTGTTTTGCAATAAATTTTTTCTGTTTATGTAACTGTTTCAAATTATGGAAAAAGGGTGGGGGTGGAGGGTGAAGTGAGCCTGATTGTCTGCTCCCTCTTGCTGTCAGGTCCCATGACACCATCACAGGGCCCAACTGATAATGAACTAGCTAAGCATGGGATTGTTTTCTCTATTATCTGTCGATTCACTTTGTTTGATTTATCATCATTTAGGCCATAAAATGTTAACGACCAGTCTCCCTGTCACAAGATTCCCTTTACAACGTTAATGAGATGATGAAAACCATGAAATCCTCCTATTTGAGAAGCTACCACCAGTAAATGTTAGGGATTTTTTTATTAATTATGAATCAATTATCAAAATAGTGAGTAATTAATTTTCTGTCAATGCACTAATGGATTAATCATCTGTGCACCAAAAGTAAGCACCAGTAGCAAGTCTTGTAAAAACCGAATGAGGAAAGGAGACAAAGGATCATTTGCTGGAGAAGGTTTGAGAACGAGAGGAGGAAGAATGAGACAAACTAATAGAAAAAAAAGGGTCTGGCTGAGCAATTGCAGCTACGCTAGTTGGCTCAGTGTTATTTGGCAGATATTACTGCAGCTTTTAGTTAGATTTTAATGAAAGGCAGACATGGACTTCTCAGTGATTTGAGTATGACTGTGAGTTAGACTTGTTCCTTTTGAAGATTCAAATTTGAGTTTTAGTCACTCTACAGACAACCAATCAGACCACAGCGTCAATGACCTCATGTCGGTCTCCAGGGGAGGTTACCTCATACAAAGGCCCATTGCCTCAACGTGCAAATATGTGAATCACATATTACGTTATGCAAAACCTGCAGACCCCATGGAGACACTTACAAACTCTCAATCACAAGGCATAACCCATCTTTGTTCTGGACATTTTCTTTGTACACTTCAGCACCTCAGTCACCTCAGCTATACTGTAGATATTCACCATGTGCCTAACCACTTCCCTTTTTACGGTCACATGTAATACTTACAGTGTACAGAGTGCCTTATGACAAGAAACGTCTTTACAGCACTGTGTACAGCATACTTGTAGAAGGCCCTTTACAATTTTAACTGACTTTAATGTTTGAATTATCTTCTGTTTTCCCTCCTAACCCACCCACCATCTCCTTGTGTAGATTTTGGATTCGGGAACTTCTTCCAGCCCGGGGAGCCTCTGGCCACATGGTGCGGCAGCCCGCCTTATGCTGCTCCGGAGGTCTTTGAGGGCCAACAGTATGAGGGCCCACAGCTGGACATTTGGGTAAGATGAGTAATTACATGAAGTAGACAATCACACCACATTATTTTGAATATTTTTTTCCAAATACAATGAACTTTGAGCACAACTTTGTTTAATATTTACTAAGCCACATGAAATCAGCTGATGCAATTCATTTTTGAGAATTATTGTATATCTAATAATGGAAACATGATGAATCAGCAGCTTTTGTTCCTGTCATATGGTGCTAATTTCCCCAACCACAGTTTTCAGCGTGGTGTCTATCGCAATCATTTACCATATTTTTTTTCGTGATTGTATTTCTGTGTGTGTGAAGGGAGGCCGTGTATTTGTTACATGTTGACAGTGTGTAAGCTTGTGAAGGCAAACAATAATCTTGTCCTTATTCACATGCCGACACCTCTGATTGATTTATCTACGGTTTTGACCTTGTTCTCTATGTGTGCATCTTTTCATGTTCACAGAGTATGGGGGTGGTGCTATATGTGCTGGTGTGTGGCGCTTTGCCCTTCGATGGGCCCACTTTGCCTGTGCTTCGACAGAGAGTCCTAGAAGGAAGGTTTCGCATCCCCTACTTCATGACTGAAGGTAAGAGACTGTTTGGGATATTAAACACAAAATAAGATAGGTGACTATGCCAACTCCTGTAATTCCTGTAAATTCACACACATTTGTATTTATGACTAGGGCTGCACAGTTAATCACAATATGGCCAAGTTCAATATCCAAACTGTATTTATTGATGAAGATAAAATGTGTGACAAAGAGCATTATAATGAAGTACTGTAGTTCTGAAGAGAAGCCCTGGCCTACAAATCTTGTTCTCCAGATGTAAGAAATCATGTTTGTTTGGTGCAGACCCCAGCAAATGTCACATTATCATGATTTTAATAGTTTTTCCAGATAAAATAAAATCATACTTTCCACACTAATCATGAATCATATCAGAACCAAATATATATATATATATATATATATATGGTAAAACAATGCCAATATCACTGTGTTACAATATCACACTGCCCTATTTGTGAGACACCTTCCAGTCTTTTCTTATGGCGGTGTGTAGTCGAACTGAGGCAGGAATGGCATGACAATTCCTGTGAGGGACAATAAGATTGCGCTTTCCTATTTGAGTCACCATACATACATGAACGTTAGCTGGCAGACTCTCTTGCGGCTGTAACCAGTCAGGGGGTCATTTCATTAACGAGAGAGCATCACGCTCATTTGAAGGGGATACAGAAGGAGCCACTCTGTCATTGTCCTCTGTAATGTGTGTACGTGCGGCAGTGTGTATGTGCGTGCTCGCAGGCTGCAGGGTGAGTCAGGTTGGCTAACTGTCTCAAAACAGCCCTGCTGTTAGCGGCTGCGCTAGCTATCTGGCAGCAGATTAAGTCCAGAGCTGGAGCTGTTTATGTAACCTGGGGAAGAGCCAGTGATGCCTTCCAGCAGCTCGCCTGTCTGTCTGTCTCTCTGAGGAGACTTTGCCTGTCTGTTTGGGCGTCTGTCTGACTCATGCTCTCTATCTGTGAGACATCTTCCTGTCCGTCTGTGGCTCTGTCTGTTTCTCCTGTCTTGTTTCTCCGTATCCCATCTGCAAGTCTGTAGCACTTTCTCCACGGGGGGTGTGGTGAGAGAGTTTACCAGATTTCTTTTCTTTTTTTCTTTTTTCCTGTTGAGACAATTAAGACATAAGGGGAATGTAGGAGTGTAATGTCAGCACCATGGCCAAACTGACACTCAAACCCGCCTCCCCACCCCCAGTCCAGCCCCTGTTCCCTGAACAAGGGGAACAGAGTGTGCCGATTTCTTCATCCATCTCATCTCCTCTTGTTTCCCTCACCGGCCAGTGCTGTGGTACACAGCACAGCCTAGCACCGCAGAGTAAATTCTTACTAGAACATCTCAGCACTGTAAATTTGGTCTACTCCCAACTTACTGACCTAATAACAACAGTAGATGTCTTATGTCTCCCCTGCTGTTGCATGTTGCACACTGGTAGATGGTAGTACAGAATAGCTTAGAGTCGTGTTATCCAGAACAACAAACAACCACATCCCAAAGTTTGTATCATCTGCAGCAGAAACTCACTGCAAACTGCAGGGTGAAGCAACTACTGGTATTGTCTTGGTTAATCAATTAATCATTTGGTCTACAAAATGTCAGAATATTGTAAAAAGTCTAAGAGGATGTTCTCAAATTGCTTGTTTTGTCAGACACTGCTGAAGATATTGAATTAACAATTTTATAAAACTGAGAAAAGCAACACATGAATTTTTGCTAAATGGCGAATTGATTTGCAAAACAGTTTTCTGTTAATCTGCTAATTGGTTTCAGCACAAACTGAAAATATAAATACACACTTTGCATGCAACTTTGCCTTGTGAAACTCAGCCGCTTGTGTTGCAGCTTGTGGCATTTTTTTTCCCTCTGTCTTGCATTGCAGCAATACAGCTAGCCCATCACAGCCCACACAGAAACAAAACAGGGTGTTGTTTTTGAAATTCAAATGAAATGAAATGTTTGTAAGCCTTCAATTGCAGCTTGTGTTGCATTTCACTCATGTCAGCTTGTAGGGTTTATGCTCATTTTAACACACATGCATGATGGTTACATTTTATATATAATGGTTATAATCTGATATTTTTAAGCTCCTGCATCTGATAAAATCAACTAAGTAGATAACAGACAGTTAGCCTCAGTGCCTACTCTCTACTGCTCTTAAACTTCTTGCAACAGAGTGCTGTTCTCCTTCATTGGGGGACGCAGTGTAACTCTACACCACTGGGTCATGGCAAGTGTTAACTTGGATGGTTCTGTGGTTGAGTCATGGTGGTGTAACGTACTGGCTAAGAACAGTGTGTCAATCAGTCAGCCAGCTAGACGGTTATGCAGTGTTGGCCCCTTCACATAGTCCAAGCATCCCTGGTGGTTAGTAGCTTTGAAAAAATTGCTCAGCTTCAGCTGTTGCTATAAACACGGCTGTGGCAACGAGCAGAGCAGAGTAACTTCTGGGTCAAACAAATTGTACTGTATTGTATGTGAAACAGGTTGTAACTCAGCAGCTGCACAAGCTGCTAAGTTGCCACAGCATGATGTAGAAGCACACTGATTATGCACATAATGGGGAAAAAATGTAGTTTGCTATACCGCCAGCCACAAAGGTAGAGAAAATGTGTTGTAAGCAGACGGTAGGAGACCAGCAGGGCGACTGGGAAGAATGTGAAGCAGGGAGTTAATGTTGACAGGCAGGTCCTTTGGGCTTATGAACTGCTGAGGTCTCTCTCCTAACTCTGACAAAAGACATGACATCTGTACACATTGGTAGAGCAGAACAAATAAGGCAACCTGCAGAATGTTACTAATGTGTGCAAAAATTTAATTTATATCTGATCAGTTTATTCACTGTATGTTATTCAAAGTGTTCAAATTGGAAGAAAAACAATATGATGATTAGATTTCACAGAGTACTTCAAAAAGAGAACAACTGGAGTCACTTAATGGCATGTGAATCATGTTTTGTTTTGAGGTTTTTAAAAATACTTCAGTAGCATTTTCAATTAGACTGCAAACTCTTTCAAAAATATATTCCAGGGTTTATTTTCTGAAATTACACCTGTTTTCCTTTAAGACCATAGCAGCAGGGTATATGGGTAAGGATGCCGTGTGGTGGGCAGGAATGCAGTGCAGGCAGTAGGGGTGCAGGCAGGCCAAAGCGGCACAGCCAGGGGAACTGTAATCCTGTTAAGAACCCAGCTGTGTCTGACGTCAAACTCATCTAGCCACTAACTAGAGGTGAGCAGCTCTCATTAGGAGGGGAGGAAAGTAGAAAGGAGTATAGACACACTGTTCAGAAGTGACGCAGAAGAATTTAGCAGATTTTAAGCCCCTAAGTGTTATTTCTGCATCACTTCATCTGGGCTACTTTGACGTGGACTTGACGCTTTGTGGCTTAATTTGCTTCACCGTAGTTTATACAAGAATTGTCCAGCGTTATAGAACATAAACATACACTTCCTTTTTTTAAAAGTGGTGAACCATAGTATGAAAGGCTATAAAAACTTTATCACGTCCTCTATGATTGTTCTTTCCGCCCCTCCCAGACTGTGAGCACCTGATCCGCAGGATGTTGGTCCTGGACCCATCGAAGCGTCTGTCTGTGGCCCAGATCAAGGAGCACAAATGGATGGCTCTGTATGTTCCCGTACAGAGGCCTGTACTGTACCAACAACCTCTGTCCACTGAGGGCGAGGTGGCCGTGGGAGAGTACAGCGAACAGGTCCTTCGCCTGATGCACAGCCTTGGCATTGACCAGCATAAGACTGTAGAGGTGAGGACTGAGCTGGAGGGATGTGTTTGCTTTATTTATTCAACAGGGGTATGAAGGGGTGGTATTTTAAGGTCCTAGCTTCAGACGGTGACACAATAGACAATAGATATGCATCACTATAAACACATGCAGAACACATTTTACTTTGTGCAGAATGATGAAAGTGGGTGCCCAGCAGTACAATTGAACAACATACAAACAGATACATGTTGGATAAAAATGGAGAGAATGAGGTCCTCTTTCTTGTCCCTAGGCAAACTCAAGCATGGGGCCTTCCTTGTGCCTTATTCTCACCCTATTGGCTGTTACCTAGACCAGTTAGTGGGGGAAAGTACAAAACAAAGTGTGTTTTGTGAAATGTCCCTTCCTAATAATAGACTTTATCCATCCCAATGGGAAATTGCAGCAATAACAGCAGCTAAGTCAACACATGAATCACAAAACAAACAATATAAGGACACTTAAAGAGGTAGAAACGGTAAGAAAATTGAATTACAAAAACCTAAATAGTTCAAATCTTACCTACAAACTAAAATAAAACAAAAATTGAACTAACTGTAATGATGATTGATGTACTGATAAATTAAAGATATTCTGAAACTGTCCTGTAAATGAGACACTGGTTCAAGATTCTAGGTTACTTTATTTGTACCCATAAGTAGATTTGGTTTGCAGTAAAAGGTAAGGCATACCGCTTGACAAATATAGAAAAACAACAAACAAGTCAGACAATAGACAAATACGATACAAACATGATAAAAGATAAATTATAAAGACACGACACGACATAACACATTGTGTTGTATTTTTAATTTATACTCTGCTCTTTAGCTGCTGCAATAACCCAGTTTTACACAGGGGAAAGAAATAAAGAATTATCTCAGCATATGTTGCTGCTGTCACAGTTAAGTCATCCAAAATGGAAAGGTGTGCTGCAGTAATGACTTCAATTACAGACACCACCATTTATGTTGTCTGTCATCCTTCAGTCTCTGCAGAACAAAAGCTACAACCACTTTGCTGCTATCTATTACCTGCTGGTGGAGCGGCTCAAGGCCCATCGCTGCAGCTTTCCCGTCGAACAGAGGCTCGACGCCCGCCAGCGACGGCCCAGCACCATCGCCGAACAGACTGTCGTCAAGGTAACCACGCGGGGCGTCAGGGCGACGAGGGGGTTCTGAATAACGTGGATAGAGATTAACGTCCGCACACCTCCCTGATCAAAGCTCCATTATTCACACCTGCACCCGGGAACAAACAAGCGGACAGACTCGGCCCATTCATTTATTTATCCAGCGAGGTTCTGTCTTCACCTGCTCTCTCCCAGTCTTTTTCCACCCAGCCTTGATCTTAATGCGTCTCCCTCAGTAACATTATTCATTTTCTTTTCTTTGCCAACTGTCTCTTCTTAGCGACACCGTGCAATTTCTCTTTCATTCCCCACGCCATCTAGGATCTGGCTTTTGTGTCTCGTTCGGATTACAAAGTCAAATTCACAGCAGCTCAATTTTGTCATAATTGCAGCAGTATTATCAAAGATGCTGTTAAGTATTGGCTATGAATTGGAGGAGGTTTTTTGATGTAATGTCAAAGACTCTCTTCTCCTCTGTTTTCTCCCTCTCTGCAGTCGACCAGTGGTTCAGCCCAGGTGGGTTTACTCCCGCAGGGTGTTCGTCTGCTGCGTTCCCCTGCTGTGCCCCAAGCCTCCTCCGATGCTTTCACCTTCCCCCAGACTGCATGTCCCCTGGAGCAGAATTTCATGGTGGAGGACGTCAACACACCCAAAGTAGGTCCAATAAAAGTAAAAAAGACGAAGCTTCAGGGACACGAGTGTCTTTTTTTGTTTGCGTCTTCGTTCTCTGTCCTCATATGACAGCTCACTCACATCCGACTTTTTGGTCACGGACGTTGTGGTTATCACGGTCATTATCAGCGTGCACGAGTGTGTCCTGAAAAATGATCCTGATAATCTTGACAGTGATTCGCTTTGATAAGCATACCCACTCACTGTGAACCAGAAATGCCTGTGCACGGTGTGTGTGTGTGTG